AACATCTTAGATTTAACATCGTATAAAATATAACAATTTAAATAAAGTAATGCTATTTTTTATACCGACCTGGTCATTCTATTACTGTGTCAGGATTTTAACGTGTAAGACAGTGATGTAGACAGCTTAAGGCTCCCCTTCCCTAGACAAACTATAACACCTGCGGGGAATCCGAAGAGACGTGGTAGCTTTTAAACTAACAGAAGGCGGTGCATCGACTACTTGCACTTTGCGAATCTCTCGAAAAATCCAGGTTCAACGACGCCCAAAATCCCAACGGTGGACCATATTTTATGGAAAAATTATTTTTCTCGTAGATATTATTCAATATGTGTTAAAATTACAAAGTCAATACAAAATATGAAAAAATTAACAATTATTACTCCATAGGAAATGGTTTATACAGGGTGTTACAATATTAACCCACATAAAAATCATATTTTCTTAGATTCAGGTCAAAGTCACACCTTAACTAGTTTCCAAAAAATGTATGAGCATCATAATTCGTAAAAAAATAAATTTAATGTTATACAAGGTGTCTCAAAATTCAAAAGTAATGAACTTTTTATAAAACTATTTTTTTCTTAAAAATCGATTTTAAAGACTTTTGAGGCAATTGCATAAAAATATGATAAGAGCTGTACCTTCATTTTATTTGTAATTATTTTGAAAATGCAATATTTTATCAACTTACTTTGTAACTTATTGACAAATATACACATCGGAACAATTCAGAAGTGTGGTCAGGATTTTAACGTGTAAGACTAAGTGTAAGTGTTCACTATACGAAAGAACAAAGGAATGAAATTCGGTATATTTGCAAACCGAATGCATGCGGCCGTTCGCCATTCGGTTCGCTCCATCATCCGTTTCCAGTCGGTATATCAGAGACGAATGAGAATTGTAGAAACGTGCGAAAAAGACTGGACGTTCGCTCGTTGGATATTAGCATTCGTTCGTTCGGATAGTGAATACGCACATTTATGTAGATGAAAGGGTGGGGAAGGGAAATAGATCACCTGAGATCCAAATTATTTTTGCATCATTCTTTTCGCCTAGCTGTTTCGGTGTGTATGTTAAGTGTTTGAAAAATGGCTATTTATACGACCGAAGAGAAGGTGCATATCGTTAAATGGTTTTACATTTCCTCAAGTGTGGAACAGGTCATTGGGCGTTTTGTGTTCACCTTTCAAGATCGCCCTGTGCCTTGTGCCACAACTGTACGTAACATTGTCCATAAATTTGAGCAAACAGGCTGCATTGCGGCGTGTAGAAATTAATATTTGTTATTTCTTACAAATTTCTTATTCAAGCCGAAATATAGCCGAACAAGTTGGTTGCAATGCTCGAACGGTGCGCAGGGTTTTAAAAAAGCATGGATATAAGTCCTACAAAATCAGTACCACGCAAGAAACTTTTCCCGCAGATTGTAACAGACATCTGGAGTTTTGCGAGGCTGTAAGAGAAGGAGCCAATCGGAATAATTTATTTTTGGAAAATATATTATTCTCAGATGAAAGCTCGTTTCCCTTACATGGCTACCAAAATCCTTCGATAGTACGTTATTGGTCTCGAGAAAATAAGCACCTTAGTATGGCACTGCGGACACAATATCCACAAAAACTAAATGTTTGGGCTGGCATGCTGCAAAATCATATCATTGGGCCTTTTTTTATTGATGGTATGTTAAGAGCTGCCAAATATTTGGATATGCTACAAAACCAAATTGTACCAGCAGTTCGAAATTTGCCAATCAATTTTGAGGAAGTGTGGTTTCAGCAGGATGGCTGTCCTGCGCATAACGCGCGGAACGTAAATCTGTTCCTTCAAACCACATTTCCCGATCGGCTAATTTCCACACAAGGCACAATTAAGGCCACCACGTTCTCCTGATTTGTCGCCCAGCGACTTTTTTCTCTGGGGATATGTAAAAATATCATCCATCTATAACCATGAACGACCCATGAATATTGACGAGCTGCGATTAAAAATCGTTCAGTCGTTAGAAAATATCCCCGCTGTTAAGTTAGCTAAAGTTAGGTCAGAGTTTTGTAACCGTCTTGGCTATTGCGAAGCACAACAGGGAGGTATTTTTGAACCTTTGATTTAATTTTTTTATAATTATTTTGCTAATTGTCCTTTTTTAAAGTTGATTTTTAGTCATAAAACATGAGCAGTGTAGATGCAACCTGACGTTTAATTATTTTTATTGTTAAAAGATTAAACGTCTCAAGATGTATGGATAACCTTCAAAATCGTAAATTGTAGAATGATGTACACTTAACCCCTTTCAAAATCCGACTGATTTGATAAATGTGTCAAAGTATGTCTACCGTTCTACGACTTCGATACTGTCAGTGTTACCAGATGAAGTTTTGAAAATTTTCTGAAGCCTGGTTGGCACGGTCAATCTACCAACAAAAAATATTCTTTTAAAATATTTATCTGATGATACTGGTTGGCACTGTCAATCTACCAACAAAAAATATTCTTTTAAAATGTTTATCTGATGATACTTTTAGAAATGCCAAGTTTGCGAAAACAAATTAAATACACACACTAAATTGTGTCCAAAAATATGCTTTCTAAAAATGTATTTCCTCGATAGAAATCTTAATGTTAGGGAATATTTCCTAGACCTGGCATCTATGGCCATATTCTTTCCCACCACTTGATTTGTCTTAGCTGATTGGTCTCATCCCGCCTCTCTAAAATTTGGAAGCCATGCTATTCTCTTCGCCACGTGTGACCCGTCAAACTCTTGAGTCATGGGCGTACTAATATTTTATTTTCATTTAGATTAAGTATTACAGCCAATTTTAGTTTAAAAGTTTTGCTTATGAATTCTGTAAAATTTAATTTATTAGAATTTTAATAAGAATCTTTTTATGACAGCTGACAAAGTTTAAGATGGGAACAGTGAAACAACGCCTTTACCACGAGTAGAGGGAGAAGGGGGTTTCTGCACCAGTGGAGGGTGGAGGTGGAGGAGGGAGCGCACGGCGCAGGCGCGAGGAGGAGGTGTACAGCGCAGGCGCAAGGAGGAGGGGTACAGCGCAGGCGCGAGGAGGAGCGGAGCTGTCAAACGTCAAATGTCAAACGTCAAACGTCAAATGTCAAACGTCAAACGTCACCTGTCACCCGTCATCTTTCAAACGTCAAACGTCAAACCTGTCATCTGTCAAATGTTAAACATCAAATGTCAAACGTCAAACCTGTCTTACGTCATCTGTCAAACGTTAAACCTGTCTTACGTCATCTATGAAACGTCAAACCTGTCAAACGTCAAATGTCAAACCTGTCATCTGTCAAACGTCAAATGTCAAACGTCAAATGTCAAACGTCAAATGTCAAACCTGTCTTACGTCATCTGTCAAATGTCATCTGTCAAACATATCTTACGTCAAACGTCAAATGTCAACCGTCAATCTGTCTTACGTCGCCATCTGTTATATACAAAGGTGTTAATGAAAAACCGACGCTTTACATCGCCAGATTGTTTTTCACACCCGGTATATATTCCAAAAAATCTTTCCATGTTTTAACACAGATGATAATTTTAACGTTTGACGATCGAGTTTTAATATATTGGTGCTTTTTTTACATTCATTGGGTACTATTTAGACGACTTGTAGGCGCTGCCGTTCTTTTCGGCTGCTAATAAGCACTTATAACCAGCTTTCTTTGTATTCGTACTCCTAGGCTTCACTCACAGTGGACGAAGATACGCGCGGTCCGAATGTGCAACCATGATTATACCTGCGTTAAGATCGCATAGTGACTGGGATAAAAAGTTCGGAGCAGCAGTTGCAGGAATAGTTCAAATGTCGGTTCAGGACATATTTTCTCTAGAAAATAGTTTTTTACGACCGTGGATCATTTGCAAAAGAAGAATGAGGGTATAAGTGAATGATATACTAAAAAAAGGAATTAATTTGGTGAATTTCAACATACCATAAACACATTCAATTCTGTTCACGAACTCATCCCTATCCATTATCATTTTAAAGAGAAACCCATCAAGAAATGTGTGAACATGTCGCAAATGTATGCACGTATACCCGCGAATCAACCTGCAGCTACTGTGATAATTGCATTGAAATAAGTAGTTTGCAAGGGTTGCCCAAAGACGCGCGTCCTACAACTTGTATGTTGACGCTTCTACTGTGCGGCCAGCTTTATATGTATAGCGATCTGTTATATCAGAGGACGTCTGATATATAAATGAAAGAACATTTCTACTTTACTATAAGCTGAAAGTATTTTTATTTACTTTTTGTTTATTCCTGCTTCTATTGTAATAGAAAAGTAAAAATCAACAAGTTAATATCAATTAGTATTTTTACTATTTAGTTTCTTATACCATTTTTTTTTCTTTATATACCTATACCATTAGATAATCATTTTTCTATTTTTTTAAATAATAAGCATAAAAAAATAAAAACAAATGATTCATTGCTTCATTATTAACTTCTTCACATAACTCAAAGCAGAAACATAAATTGAAATATATTGTACATACAGATTTGAATTGTGAGCCATGACGCACATAGCTAGTAGACCGTGTATTCAATTTTATTCTTAAACCTTCAGTTTATGTTCCAGTTGATTGTTTTTAGAATAATAATTCTTTATCTTATTTTAATTAAGTAAATATTGTTTTCAATTGTCTGTATAGATTTAAGACTAGTTTTTATTTTTATTATTTTAAGATTTAAAAATGATATCGAAAATATGAGTTACAATCATTTTGATATAAATTAATATTTCCAGTATGTTTTAGATTATTTAATTCCTTTAATTCTGTGTATAAATAATATACAAAGGTTACTTGATAGAGGATTACTGTTTTATGCTGAACAAAAAATGAGACAGTAAGGATTAACTGAAATGATTTGGACTTGGTACCAATGTCATGCTTGTCATTGTCGCAACCAAACAAAAATTGCAGTATTATGCTTCGAACTGCCTTTTCGTATAACCTAATAAAACATGTGTGATAAATAAAACAAGTAGAGTGTATTTCTATTATGCATTTATAATAATTTTATGCCAGTGTTTCAATTCAACCTAATTCAAAATCTTTTAATACCAATAATAAAAGTACGAATATCACTAGGATTCAAGGAAATTTCGAGCTCGTCCAAATTATCTTTTAATGTGGGCTGTGGTTTGGTTTTTGATCCCTCTATCCATGCTTTCTTCACAACGGTTGCATACTCAATATTAGTATTATAATCTTCATAAAAGAGCTGTTCCAATGTGCTGTTGGTTTTAAATTTCAACCGATCGCTATCTTTTAGCCACTGATTTGCACCTAAAGTTGTTTCCTCCAAAGACACAATTTCAAAACCTGTAAACAAGTCCTAAAAGTGTCGAGTTAATATGGTAGTTACGGGATTAAGTTAATATCACTGCGCTTACTGTTAAGTTTACTAAGGCCGATTGAGATAGTACGGAATCCTCGTCATAATCAAATAAATGTTCTAACCTAAGAAGGAAAGTAGAGTCCTTCCAGGGTTCTAGAGTGAGTATTTGAACATTTTTAGGTAATGCTTTACGTAATCCAGAGTACTAGAATCAATAAACAATATTTAGATTTATTTAAATATCTTTTTATTAAGAAACCTTTACCTCCATAATATATTTAGATTTATATTCATCAGCACTATCTTCAAGAGGTGTAACAAAAGTCCAGGAATCTAATAGCTTCTTTTGAGCAATATCTTTTGCAATTGCAGATATTGAGTTACCTGTATCGATATAAATGTAGAAAGTTATAATCACAAAAATATACGAATATTACCGTTCTGATCGTTTATGTTGCCGACAGTAAGAAAATGGGAACCTCTGATAACTAACCCTTTGTCGAAAGCTGTTTCGTTTAAAGATTCTCCAACACCAAATCCGTCATCGTGAAGACAGTTTTTATGTATCTGAAAATTATATATTATTTTTGTTATCCAGTATGACAAGTTACATCGTTTTATTATGAGGGATACTGATTGTGGTTCTCACTGATAAACTCATTATTAATATATTAAAGTTTTATCTGGCCATGCATTTATTGGCGAAATACCCATAGGACTTTTAGGAATCTGCCACATAGGTATAGACATTTTTCATGCATATTTAAACGTTGTCTTAAATTAAAATAGTGCCATTTAAACAATGAAGCTATCTACGAACTATCAGCATTTTTTAGAATTAGTTACTGTCTTTGTTAAAAAGCAAATTAGCCTCTGCAAGCAATGTACAATATATTTTCTGTATTATTTCTGCAAATATCTTTAAAAATTGATGCATATTGTAAAATGTCTCTGTCTTCAAAAGTCATAGATAAATTCCCCACTTTCATACATTACTAAAATATTTACTTCTAGATAATAGATATATAGGGTGTTTCAAAAAACATGTGCCATCTCTCGTGGGGAAATTCCTCACGTAAAAATAAGATTTATTTTTCATATCAACATAGGTCCGATTCTACTTTGTTTCGTAGCTACAGGGTGTTAAAGTCTTAATAATCTATATTATAATATATATATATATATATATATATATATATATATATATATATATATATATATATATATATATATATATATATGTATATATATATATATATATATATATATATATATATATATATATATATATATATATATATATATATATATATATTATACTTTTCTTCCAAGTACTTTCAGTGATTCGAATGAAATTTTGAGAGTAAAAGTTACTATAAGTGCAACATATTTTAATGCTGAAAAAGTGTTAATAAATTTATCAGGGACGTGCATATGGGTTATCACTGGATTATTTTTCCAAAAAAAAAATGTGCGCCACTGATTTTTTTTCTTTTGATATCAAGATTGTGTAGGCCGTTTAATACCAATTAAAAATTATCTCTTAATATTTTGTCGAAATTTGATGATATAAACGCAATTTTATTAATCACAATTTAATAAAATTAAAATTAAATTAATAAATTATATATTTTACCCAGTTTATTATTAAATATTACTATTATTAGTTATTATTAGGTACTATTAGTCCAACCTACAGCAATTTCAAATAAAAAATTAATGGTATTTAAGATATTAATATTATTAATTTAAGATATTACAAAAAACCTAATTTTATTTTTTTTAACATCCTGTAATTATAAAACTATACATTTCCATTCCCATGTTTATAAGAACTTTTTTTCGTATTTTTTGATGAGGAATCAATGAGTATTTATTTAAAGCTTTCACAAGTTAATGATATTAACATTTTTTAAAGGTTGCTATTAGACCTGAACCCAGGTAAATTAATAAAATTGCGTTTATCTCATTAAGGAGGTCGAAATCGCCAAAATATCAAGAGACAACTTTTAATCGGCATTAAACTGTTTACAATATTTAGTTAAAAAGAGAAACGAAAGCAAGTGGCGTACATGATTTTTTTAGAAAAATATTCCAGTGATAACCCTGATATGCACGTCCCTGGTGAATATGTCGACACTTTTTTAGCTTTGAAATATGTCGTATTTATAGTACCATTTACCCTTAACATTTCATTGGAATCACTAAAATCATTTGGAAGAAAACTAGAACAAACCGAAAAAATATTAAGACTTTAACACCTCGTAGCTACGAAACAAAGCAGAATCGGACCTATATTGATATGAAAAATAAATCTTATTTTTACGTGAGGAATATCCCCACGAGAGATGGCACATGTTTTTTGAAACACCCTGCATATCATATAATGCATTTATTATAGAGATTTGATTTTATGTTTCATGAAGATTTTAGAATTAACCATTATAGTACCATTATTTCGATTTCTCCATCGTTTAAGCTGCTTCCTCCTTGAGCTCTGTCATTTAGTACTGCTACTTCTATACCTTGCACTTCATCTCTAATAGCGATTTTCGATGTTATTGGGTAATAATTACCAGACGCTGGCTCTGAATTATCCAGTTCCCATGTCGGCCTGTAATCTCTCACTCTTTTCAGCATTTCCTTTCCATTTGAATCAGTGTAAAATACAGAATCCGTTGCTAACATTGTTGAATATTTCGTTACTACTTCTATGCCATTTGGACCACTAAAATATTATATTTGATGACACACGCTTTTAAAATGCAATCTCTTTATTTTATAATATTACCTAGTAGGTATCGGGCCAATGACCCAATCGAACTCTATATAGTTTTCAATTTTGTTGACTCTAACAGTTTGACTAATGTACTCGTTAAAATTCTGTCTTGCTTCTGCCAATAGAGATCCTTCAAATATAGCAACTTCAGCTGTATCATTAGTTATTTTAATACTCCCGTC